TGATCTGGCAATAAGAAGGTAATAGCAGTAAGATCGGAATGCTACTTTGCCATGCATGAATCTGTACCTATTTCCCTAAGCGATGAATATAAGGAAACAAAGTGATTACCGCTATAGACCTAAATGAGTAGTATAGTTTTTGCGTCCACGTTATCCAGAAGATGATTTTTGTCTAGGTTAACCCACTTGGGTTGATTCTGACTGAAATTATCTCTGAACAGGATGAATCAAAGGAAATGCTTAATATTTGCAGGGAACTTAACTTTGTCGCGCATGCCAACATGCTTGTCAATCAGCACAATATCGGGGCTTGAGTTTTATTGAGTTTGCTTCTTAATCCTTTCATCTAGGATCTGAACCCCTCACAGGCTGCTATTAACTAGGTGAGATTGAGCCTTAACTTCAGTCCAGCTTTTATGAAGACCTTTTGGGATGCAAGGCAAAGTGGAATTCGCTGCAAAAATTACACAATTTCTATCATTATTCCTAGGCGCATTCGTTATTTCTCCAATTAAAAAAACCAGCACAAATTCTTATATTGTTGCTACTAACTATGAGTCTAAAGTGCACTTTTACTAAGTATAAGCAAAATTACGCCATATTGCTTCAAAAAAATAAAATCCTGTCTTATCATGGGGGAAAATGTAGACTTTTTGGATAGTACCTGCTTCCTTAGCTCTAAAAACGATATCAATAATTGGCCAGTCTCAAACACTAAAGGATATGTTGAGTAGGCCTCACGATTCAATTGGATTTCTCCTAACCTTGTTTTTACCAAAAGGCTATCTCCTTTAGGATAGACAGTAATTTCGATCTTATCAAATTCATATCAATGGACCAAACGAGATTCGATACCTGACTGTGACTAATATGGCAGCGTTACTATTCCACTCCACAAGCATGTGAACCATTTGGTCACAGGATAGATGAGGTATTCAAGACAAGGGAAGACTTACCCAAACCATATTTGTATGGTGGAATTGTTAATTAAGCAGAGATAAAATTGCAATCATTTACTATACTTACTTTCGATATAAGTAGGTTCCGAAACTAGCATTAAATCTTGAATAGGAAATTAGTCCGCATATATTGCCTTTAGCGATTTTTTGAACTTTAATCAATTTTTCTCAAAATCAAATAAATAAGCCTCACGGTGCCATAGAATTTGACTTATTAAAGAATTATTGATAGTCTCGAAACCTGGTTATATCAAAACAATAAGTAGTCGTCGATTTAAATAGATTAATATGCCTGCTTAGTCAATAATCCCATGCATGCATATTAACTCCTTTATCCTTTTCAGTTATATTTTGTGAGTAATAAATGTGAATATATAATGAATAGACATATTAGTCAACTTAAGAGTGAAAGACACTTCTCCAAATATACCGTAATTTAGGAATAAAACTGAGCATGACAGAATAACCTTATATTTCGTTTTGATAAGGTTTTCGAAACTATCAGTAAATCAGATATATGAGATGTGCTCTCACTATTTCGTTTAACGTGATGAAGGACTGGTAGTTGAGCCTTCCCACAATGATATAAGTACAGCTGATGCCTTCCAGTGAATTTTACATTGCCTTGTTTTCCTAAAGGGTATTTTCATTCATGGTGGATTGCATTTTCGATATCGTCTAGGTCCTATCAGCATCTTGCATCATCGACTTTCCAATCACAGAATGTGATATGGGAAATGTCTGACCAAAGGGCACTCATGGTAATGTGGTGTAGTATTTAACCCATCGAGATTATACACTGCAAGGTCATGGTTAGAGTCCCACTGAGAGTGTTGATAGGGCCTAATCGAGCTCGAAACTGCTGTCCACCGTGGATGAGAATACCTTTTTTAAAAGCATAAAAATGTTAACTTCAATGGAAGCCTCATGTCTACTCAGCTGATTGTGGAAAAATTCAACTACCAGTATTTCATTACCTTAAACGAAATAGAGTGAACAGAGCCCATAAAAATAAACTTGACATATCTATTTTCGTCCAAAAGTTTTATCCTACCTAAAAAAGGAATAGCTATCTGCATTAAAAAGCCTGCTTGGGCTACGCTCGCAGGCGACTCCACTGTTTTAATGTATTATTAATTTTTTGAGCTGCCCACATAGGGATATCAAAAGCACACGAAAGATGACAGCTTAAGTCAGACTTATATTCACATAAGGTAGGTTCCGAAGCTATCCGTAAAGCTTGAATTTGTGCTCAGGTCAACCAATTTGACATAAGGTGACGAAGGACTGATAGCCATATTTTCCCACAATGACATGAGTGAGCCCCACATATCCACCATATTTCACTTAGCCTTAATTCTCTGGAGGTATTCTGAGAATTCAGTGTCTCACTAGGGTCTCACCAGCACTTCCAATGATAATCGAATCCTGGTGGTACATGCTGACAGCATGCCAAACTGCCATTGGTTAGGGTTAGGGTTAGGGCAAATGCGAATTTCAAGGAAAGCAAGGGCTCTCTCACATCACATTTTTAGGGTGATTGACGATGAGGCAAAGTTGAATTTGTTCAGCTTATTTCCATTCCGAGCGAAAGTGTTGGATGAAGACAATGATGAAGCAAGAGATTCCTCGAGACCCAACTTTTCATCGCACAAAGTTGAATTTGCTGGAGAGACTTTCATTTCGTATTAATGTGCATTATGAAGGGATTCTTGGATTAATCTCACGTGAAGACTACGGCTGATTCCCTTTGTACTGCGGCCGTTTGGCTTTAATACGAAGTTTAGGCTGACGCAGTCCACGAGACATCCCTCATCGTTTTACATGAAACTGTTATGAGCCTTTTTCCATCATGTGAAAGACGTCATCGAAGGCGTAACTTGTTCATGCAAGTCTTAAGTTAAAATGTTACCAAGACTGTCCCGCTCTATCTTATGTCTTATATGTACTAATAAGTTAAATAGAAAATGTAGAGAATTCGATAGATAGATATAGAAATATTTGCCTAGTTCCCTTTTTTATTGGTAATGGTGCATTTTTTAAGTGGATGTGCGTGTGTGTGTGTGTGTGTATTACTATCTACACTCAATAAAGGGGCTAAATTAGATTGATTAATATAGCCTAACTTCAGGCTCGGGTCAGAAAACTTAATTATCTAAGAAAAAATCATGATCGAGACTGAAATAATGAGATGCAGGCTTGAACACATGTAAATCAGATTACCAAACCACTCATCATATCCCTTCAGTTTAGGGCCATTAAGGTTTAACGGCACAGGGACAGGCATAAATGAGATTGCGTAATCTTGTCTGGTTTGGTTAATAAGCTTAATCTATATAATGAACGAATGTCAGGATGCAACCATCACTGGGCCGATGGGTTGAGTCGCCTTATTTGGATTAGTCTCTGCTATGTAAACATGCTTGAAAAGAGAATTCATAAAGGAGCAAATATATATTGGTTTCCTATAAACAGCTTTTATTAACTTATCATTTTCTCTAATAACCAGATCACACAAAAATATAAACAGCTATTCTCTTATATTCCCATTGTGAAACTAAGGTTTCTTTCACTTTTAATTTAGTGAAGGCAGGACACAATCTAAGCCTTCTCTATCATAAGAGCAGATGGCAAAATAGCCATGCATATGTCTGACCAAAAATGTGAGGATTAGTATTGCCTCTTCAAATAAGTGTCCGTTAAGTTTGGCCAAGTGGGTGTTCGCCAATATGGGAGCTAAGCAAGATCCCATGGCAAATATAATTGTCTGTTCACTAAAACTTGCCGTCAAAGGTAAAATAAGTGCAACTCATGGATTGTTTAAGAAGTCTAAGTATGAATGCTACACTCAATCTTATTTCTTGTGTAATCTCTGGATGCTTCTACAGAGTATCTTTGTGTGTGCATAGGAACAATATTAAAACATATTAACCTATCTTTATTTGAAATTATTTGCTGATTAACCTATTTTACACTCCCAGATGTTTAACTGATTATAGCCAAATATCAGCAACTTTCCATAAATATATGCATAAAAAATACAGTACTTTATGCATCACGCTTGCTGTCTTATTTACAAATAATCTGAGGAGTCCCCCTGCTTGTGCGCCGTAGGAAGACCGTTAGCCGTGGTTGTATTTGCATTTCTCTGGAGTACTTAATTCTTCTTCCACCCATCCATTTCAGCATACCCTATGGGCATCCTCAGCATAGCCTTTAGTCTTTCTATTGACTCTTTCATTAAAGGTATATAAGTATCAACAACATTTAAATGAATAAGCATTTTTTCTACATAACTTAAAAGATTCATCGAAACCCAGTTACTCTTCGTATCCACTCAATTTAGTCTTCAAAAGGTGTCAATTCAGAATTGACACGTACGAAAATGGTAGTCAAATTTTCACCTCCGAATAGGAAGAAAAGCCTATGTATAATAATAAATTGTCTAGCGTGATCCATCAAGGCCTATGGAAAATGCGACCTTGGGCATAGCAGAGAATCTCCTGCAATTTGCAAACAGGTTTACTTCGTACCTCAGTAGTGAATGGCTCATACTGATCACTTGTCCCAAACTATGTTCGTCACTTGGCTTAGAATATCGTGCCAAGGCCAAAATCTCGTCGGCAGGGTATTCGATGATGCTGAAGTACCAGTAGGCCCTTTGGGTAAACTTTTTTACGTACATACAAGCACACATACAATGACAATAGGCGGAGTAGCCTGGATCAGATACCTTTTGGGAAGCAATATAGTTTAAATTAAATGTAAAAGAGAAGCTTACATGTATAATTGTGGAAAAATTCAATTGATATATCACGTTTTGCGACCTAGGATTACTATAACTCTGATTCAAAGGATTCTGTTAAGGCATTCCTCAAGGAATGGATTGACAATGACTTAAGTTTGGGTGGCACAGTATTTGTGCATTTTGCCTATACATGCTCGTTCTCTGAACGATTAAAACTACCTTTGAGGTGTATAAGCGAAATGTTAAGTTGTACTTGCCGTCATCCGAATCTCTACAGCTGATCAGATCCAATATTTCGATAGTACTCGATTGAGCTGGTGATTTGACGCGAGCCGAGGTCGGTCGTTCAGAAATTCGCTCTGATACTGCGGTATGCTCCATGCCAACTAAGCTGATTCGTTGGGACACGTAATGCGACAGCTTTTTCTCGCTGCTGCGCTCCCTTTGTTGACGCAAGTTTACCTGCAAACCAACATTCAAGGATTAGTAAACAAGTTTAAAGCATTTACTAATATGCCCTAGCCAGATTATTCCCCTCCTCTCAATTGTTGTATCCAGAAGCATATGTTGACCAAGGGTAAGAGAATACGCTCATTTTCAGTGGTCTACCTGAAACCGCAGGAGTGTGGAGTGAATATATCGTGAGTCTTGAATCCTATCCTTCTAGAGACTTAACCTAAAGTATGAAAAGATTGATTTACTTTTTATCCATTATGGAGTTAAGGAGGCCACCTACACTAGAAAAAATGATCATATCTGATTAGACACAATAAAAACACTTCTCCTCAAACATAAAATATGCATAGAAAATTTCGTTAGTGAGGGCTTCGAGGATTTTGAATATACATAATTAGGCACTATAAGAGTCTCGAGACCTTAATCTGCAAATCAGATCATTACATATTGCACCCTTTGAGTCCCGCAAAATTATCCCACTTCTTAATTTATGGCTGGCTTTATTACCAGATGGTTACATGTATAAGTAATTATACATTTGTAGTTGAAATAGCCATTATTTTAATAGGTTATCAATAAATGAAGTCTTAGGTTGCTCTAGTCAGCCATTAGCCAAAATTATGTTATGATTATCTAGCAAAGTTAAATTACTTTCACCAGGTACAAGTATAACAAATATCATTAACTATTCAAATACTAGAAGAATTTCTAATAATCCAAATATTTGTGCTTTGCATTCTTCATAAGGCAGAAATGCAGTGTGCTCGGTTTGATACCCAGTCCTTTATGTTTCCTTTTGCAACTGGCCTTTTATGTGTTTTAAAAGTTAGCTAATATAGCTAATATAGACATTCAGCCTCAATTACTATGACTCAAATAGTAGTGGTGATAGATAATATTTTCGGTCAATAGGAAAATAAAAAGCAGGGTCCAAGCCAAACAGCTTTCTCATGTGCTTTTCGAAGGAAAGGTCAGTTGTTCGAAACAAGCGAGCGAATTATTGTTGCCTTGGTATCAGCTCCTCCTCAAAGATACCATCGATAGAAGCCTCCAACTCAGACCTGTGGAATCGCGAATTCCTAAATGCCAATTGGAATTTATTTATCCCACTACTTACTTGATAAATCTCTATTACTATTCAAAGTAGCCATAATATTTCATTTAGAATGATAATCGGCATTTGAAAATTCGTTGCATGTACAGATGCAAATAATTTCACTATTTTGAAGCAAAGGTTAGATAATATTACAATTACCCGTTCCTTTGACGAATCTGCGTAAAAAATCTAAAAGAATAAAATAAGCTTAGCAGCAAGCGATAATAATTTATAGAGTCCCTTGACAAGATGATCAGCATTGGCGAAGCCGTCACCGAACTGAGTTTAAGTTATCTGTAGGCAATTGGGAGAAGACTTCCAGAAAGACTGCGACTTGCCTATAGACAGAAATAACACCTATTACACCTGATCGTATTGTCCTGAGGTGACGCCCTCGATCTACCCGCTTGTCGAAAGTGAACTCAAATAAAAAATCAGCCACTACAGAATTTTATGTCTTGAGGAGGCCTTCTTAATAAGTATGTTGGGATTAAAGCCTGGGCTGTGTGGGTTCTGCCTTTTTTGCCATCTTTACAACATTTGAGATCGTGATATCCACGAACTATGATGACTGCTATCTAGAAAAAAATACTTGTAAAGATTAATCGTGAATGCATGCGTACTAAAAGAGGAAATTTAAAAAGTCGGTTTTGCCTTGAAAGTAATATACACAGTCTTGATCTTTTGGTCTATGGTTGTTGGGCCCAGATGGCAAGGTATTTACCCACCGTACTGGCTGGCTGAGACCGCTCCTTTGAAATGCAAAAACCATGCATTCTCATCACCGCATTGTCAACAGCAAGTGGGATTGCTTTCCGCAAAGTTTGCCAATGAAGTAAACAAAAATATGTTCGAAAAGAAGGAAATAACAACGATTCACACTGCTAGTGGTGGTAAGCAAAGTAAATGTCACTCAACTTTCACCAGATGATGGTAAAAATTGGTATTACAAGACCTAGGCAAACCTTCATCGATTTGCTGCTATGCTCCAGCCCATCAACGCTTGTCGTGGGAAAGACATCTTGCAGGTCTGGCTCATATTCCTCATCATCCTCGTCATCGGCTTCATCATCGAATATCACTTCATCATTGTCCTCATCATAGGCTTTCGACGTCAGTAGGTTCGCCAGGTCCAATGCATCGTCAGCTTGGTCTGTAGTCAGTGACGGAATCTCGCTTATGTCAGCAGTGTCCTCATTCCGGCGCACTTGGGAGTAACCTTGTCCACCTTCAATTTCTTGCAGTTCACTTGACTTCCCAGAGCCATGAGCGGCCGGAGCTCGAAAGTATTCCTGGTCCACTGGAAGTGCACTTTGGCCTGGACCACTTAGACCGATTCCGGGCAACTTTGCAGTGGGTCTGTGTTTTCGAGTCAGGGCTCGCTGGCCTGCTGCTGCTGGTTTCTGGCCAAGTTGCTGTTTTCAGAAAGTGCGGAAACATAAGTAAAGAGAGCATCTACAAGGAAAAATGTACAAAAAAGCATAGTGAGCAAAAAGGCAGGCCTAAATTGGGTTCTATCCTCCTCTCGTTAACATAATTTGTCAGGCGGAGAGATCTGAGAGCATTTTTGTAAATATTTTCATCTCCTATATAAGTGCATGATCCGTGGGTTAAGCTCAACTGAAGACGATAGCTTATTACTGTTATTATACAGCCGTTTGGTTTTAATACGACTTTCAAGTGGACGCAGTCCACGAAACCTTCTCTCTTGCTTTAGATGAAAGCAAGCTGGGCTTTCGTCCATCATATTATGGAAATCGTCAGAGATGGAGCTTATTCTTGTAAAAGCCGGTTCTATCTTACCTCTTGTATAGACTCATAACTAAAAGACGAAAAGGTATAGTCATAGATAGATATAGAATGGTTTGTCTGATTATCTATCAGTTTAATCAAGCTACTGTTATTTGAGTAGATGTGTATTTGTGTGTGTTGTTAACGTATATACGCAATACAGGTTCTAAATCAGAATGATCAAATAAGCCTAATGTCAGGCTCTGGTCATAAAGATCTAATTATCTAAGAAAAAACTCTCACCAAGACTGCCTTAGTTAGTAAGCAACTCTTGTTGAGCTACTGAAATATGAGAGAGTAAACTTGTAAGTCAGGTTATGAAAGCATATGACATAACCTCTCAGTCTATACTTATTGAGATTAAGCAGCCTAAGAAAAGGCATGGCTAGGATTGTGAAATCCAGAACGTCTGGTTTGGCTGAGTAATTTAATCCAGCATAAGCCAAAGGAAAATGCGACCAAACAAGACATACCATCTTGGTCTGCAATCAAATTACGATGGTCAGATTGCCAGTCAGCACTGTGATTACAGCAAGTAAAAAACTACCCAAAGTCAATCTTGTCATTTGGCCTTTCTTAAATTTTGTCAACGTTATGACATCCCTACTAGTTTTTGCAATTGGATGAGAAAATTATCATTCTCATATATTGTATCAAGCTTTGTTGCAAAAATTACAGAAAGCATATTCTAGTGAGAGGGGAAAATTATTTAAGTTTTTAGGTATTAAATCTTTAATCAGGCATGAGTTAAGTTTTATTTTTACTTTTCCTATTTAAGTAGCGCATCGAGACTACCAGTAAATCAATAATATGAGATGTATTCACCGTATTTCGTTTAAAGCGATGAAGGACTGGCAGCCATATTACTGATTTACTGGTAGTCTCGAAACTCTACTTAAATATTAAAAATAAGTAACGTAGTCGATTGTTATAGCTAAAATACGTTTGCTTCATCAACAGTCCCACCAAAGAATGTGATATGGGACAAGGCATGGCCTTCCTTGAAATTCACATTTACCCTATGACCTAAGGGCACTCGTGGCAATGTGGTCGAGTGGTTAACGTGTCAAGCTCTCATTCTGCACAGTCACGGTTCGACTCCCGCTGGGGATTTTGATAAGACTAATGCGAGGTCGAAACTGCAGTCCATCCTGGACGAGAAAAACTTTTGGGAAAATAAGGCAATGTGAACTTCAATGGAAACGTCAGCTCTACTCATATGATTGTGGGAAAATTCTACTACCAGTCCTTCATCATCTTAAACGAAATTGGGTGAATACAACTCATCTTATTTTTACCTCAGAGCATTTCCTGAAACCACAGATGACAGACGAAATGTTAAAAATGTTCTCGGACTTAATCTAAAAATACTCCGGAAGAGGCTTAATAAACATGGGATCCATGGGTAGCCTAAGTCCCAACCACCCGACAAAAACGAATATGACTAAAATGACGAATCTTATCATCCAGAAAAGAGAGGAAGATAAAGTAGTGAATCTATCTTCCGTCTCTCTTGATCTCGAAACCACGGCGATCCTCAAGAAGGAACTAAAGTTTGCACTCCTGAATGAAAGGAAGACAAGCAAGGACATTTTAGTGGAGGTGATAAATACCTCTGAAAAGCTACCGGAAGAATCAAAAAGAGCTGGAAATAGAAATCATCCCAATAATTTTGGCGCATCAAGAACCTACGGATAGGAACAATATAACCAAGATACATTGATAATAGAGAAGAAACAATCAAATAGTCCTACAAGCCGACAAAGGAGGGGCCACGATAGTGATGGTCAGGAAGAAATATACAGAGAAAATTGAAAATATTCTTGGGGCACTAAAACTTATCGACTTTTTACAAAAGAACAAATAGATAAGATTAAAGGATCACTGCAATTAATGCTGAAGGATATTCATACGAATGAGGAAATAGACAAATAGACAATGAATTCACTGCTACGAAAAGATGGAAGAGCCCCAGCATCATACGGTTTTCCAAAAATACACAAAGCAGGAGGACCATTAATAATGATAGTGAACAATAGACACAGACCAACACATTAATTGGCTAACTTTATCTGTAATGAGATGTATTCACCCTATTTCGTGTAAGGTGATGAAGGACTGGTAGTAGAATTTTCCC